TTATTTGAATCCATTAACACCCAATGTAAAATCTGGTATTAATTACAAACTAGTTTTAACCCATGAAAATTTCACTGTTTTCCTATTTCTATATTCTGATGAATCTTAATTCTGAAGTTAATGATTGTGTAAGCTCATACTGAGTTCAATGACAATAAAATATCCGTAAAAATTCCCCTATCACATTGTTATTTGATCTTAACAACTTTAACAAAACATTGCAATAACAATCAAAAATGAATGCTGAAGAAGTAAGGAGGTACAAATGAAAAGAATGAAATTGACAATTTTTTTCTATTCACACTGAAACAACCATTAAGTACTTGTATCTCCTCTTTTTTTTCTTTCTTTCATTTTCTCACTGAAAACAAGTCGTCTTTTCCCCTCTTTCCATGAGATCAAAACAAAATAGTCCATTATTTATGAGATATTGGCAGATGTTAAACATTTCTATCTTCCCTTTCTTTCATTTCTCACTGAAACCAAGTAGTGTCTTTCCCCCTCTTTCCATGCAATCAAAATGGAATAGTCCATTATTTATGAGGTTTTGGCAGGGCGTAATGGTTGTGTGAACTAACAAGGAGAAGAACAAGCATTATTGTATTATAAAGATTAAAATAAAAGTTCAGTATTATGTGTTTGTAAAATAAAATCTGGTATTATAGGTTTCTATCTATGACCCATTAATATCCACCCTTCCAAAAATGGTATGGTCAGCATTAATATGTTAAGCCACTGTAGATTAAGAATAATATTGGATTTGAACTCTTGGCTCAATAGAATACCACGTCTTATTTACTTGACCTGTGTATTTTGAGCTAAAGGAGAAATGCATAATGTCACCCTCTGCCTTCCCTCACCTTCCAATTAATCATTTCATCACTTGCATTTTTTTTTATTATTTATCTAAGCCTTTGATTTTCAAAAGGTGTTTTTGTTGTTGTTTTTTTTTTTTTTTTTTTTTTTTTTTAAGAAACCAAGATAATTTGAATTTTCGAAAATTTCAAATTGTGGGTGCAGTTCATATAAATAAAATTAAGACTTCACAATGTTCCAGATCCTTTTTTGTACATTGTGCATGATATAATTTAGAGGGAATTGTTTTTGGATAAGGGGGAAGGTAGTGGGACTTAGAAAGTATGCACCTTTTTTTTTCTTTTCAAAAATTAAATCAAAATAACCATAGCTCAAGCACGGTAAGAATCATTCCAACTCATGGGAATTTCATTGTTTTCTTGATGAAATTGAAGAGGCCATTTTTTTCTTTTTTCTTTTCTTTTTCTGTCTCTTTCTTCTTTTTTTTTTTCTGTCTCTCTTTCTCTTTCAAGTAGATCTAAATTATAAAATAGTTGTCAGCCAAATAATTTCAATAATTCACAACATTCAATGTTATATTTTATAAAAATATTTTAGAATTTCGATTTATTTCATTAAAAAATAAATTTCTTTACAATTTACCTTTTATAGAAAATAATTAAAAACATGAAACTGGAGAGGCTGGCAATCAGAACCCTACAGAATAATGAAAGCATCATCATATATATGGTCTCCCCAAGATTCACAAAGATGGTATTCCACTCAGGCCAATTGTTAGCTGCCAAGGCTCTGTATGCCACCCTCTGAGTTGCTTCCTTGTTGATATAATTAACCCATTAATAGGAAAGTCACCCCCATATGTCTGAAACTGTGTGGAAATAATCAGATGCTCCAATTCAATCCAACCAGATGGTGAACCTAGACATGGTGAGTTTGTTCACCAAGGTGCCCATGGAGGAGACACTATTGGTCCTGATGCGGCATTCACCCTGGGCGGATTGAGCCGGCTTCTTCCTGTTGTGAGAAGAAGATTCTTGGGATAAATTACAGAAGTAGGGTACCCAGGCCTACTCAGACACCAGTCTGTCCCTGACTATTGGTAGTCAGGGACAGACTGGCCTCAGACTCCTGTATAGGAGAATGGACCAGTATACTAATAGATAACCTGATGGAGATGCTGGCTTTCTGTACACAAACAGCACTCTTTGGAATGGGATCAGACATATTCAACAGCAGTAGCAGACATATACATAGAATATTTCAAAGAAATGTTATTAGAATCCACACCACTAAAGCCAACCCTATGGCTGAGATATGTAGATGACACCTTCATACTCTGGCCATACCAGGAAGAGGTCCAGCTACTACTGGACCATATGAACTCCATAAGATCATTGATACAGTTCACAATGGAGAGAGAAAGCAACAAAAAACTTGCATTCCTCTTGAACAGAACATGATTTTAAGATATCTGTATACTGCAAGACAACATTCACTAGACAATACTTCAACTCCCACCACCTACACAGTGTAAAGAAAAGGATTGTTTGCTGCTTACAATATTGAGCAAAAGTCATAAGTGGCAGCCCAGAGACATATGAACAAGACTACAATGTAACAACTACCCTGAGTACATAGGAGCCGACCTGACCCGACAAACTGGGACAGAAGGATACAAGAGGATAACAACACTCAAAAAATATCTTCACTTTATCTACCCTATGTGAAGGGATTATCAGAATAAATACAAAAGATCTGTGGCCCACATAACATCAGGATGACCTTCAAAAGTGCTTCAACACTTTAGTCATCTCTTCCAAGTAACCCCCCCCCAGAGGAGAACATAACTAAGGACTGTGTAGACGCCATCCCGTGCAGTTGTAGTAAGAAATATAAAGGAGAAACAGGCCGTCGCCTTAAGGTAAGACTGCAAGAACATCATAAAGCGATAACGTGAGGAAAAATAGAAACATCAGGCATAGCTGATGGCGTATGGAGGGAAAAGAGAAGTCACCACACCCTGTAGGAAGAGGTTGAAATAATAGACAGAACTTCACTGGCAAATATGAAAACTTAAGGAATTGGTACATATGCTAGGCCACAAAAATCTTCTAAGCCGGCCAAGCATAGAAATGAATACAATATGGTAACCAGTAAAGCAGAGTGCTGGAGAAAAGCAATAATAGCAACAAAAATTGTATTAAGTTTATAAATTTCGAAGATTCATATATTGATGTCCTCAAGGACACATGGCCTAGTGGATAAGTGTTGGTTGGATCCAGTGACGTGATCCAAAGATTTTTGAGTTCAATACCTACAAAAAATCTTAGTGAGTTGAGTTAAAGGAAGATAACCAAGTCATCCAAAAGAGGCATGTCACATGGGACTATCTACCCTGGTGGACAAAATAAAGGGTTCAGTTTGAAATTCCAACCATCTGAAGAAGGCTGGAGTTTACAATGGAACATCATAAATATGGCAATAAAGATGAAGGCAACGCTCCAAACAATGTAAATAAGAATCTGGAATTTGATTAATACGGAGCCTAGTTAAAAAAAAAATATGTATTGATAAAATCCAATAATCAGCAATATTATTTGTCTTGATCTGGTATCTCAGCTTCAGTCACTTTCTTACCACCATAAAAGTTGCCTCCCTGTGCCTTTTCTATAAATACTTTCATAGCAACTGCTCTTCACCATGGTACCTAGACATTTTGAATTCAAGTGCAGTACTAGACTGTTGATGTGGTCTCACCAATTTACAGTTGAGTTGGCTAGATATAACCATAAGTTTTATGCTAACAGTTTTTCTGCCATGTATTCAATTACTTCCAAGTGTGGAGAAATTGACAGTTCAGGCAAGGGAAGGAGTAATGTACTTACCTGGGTTGTTGATTCTTGTTGACTAAATGCATTTTACTAATTTTTTTTATAGTTACAATTAGAATTTTTTAATAGTTGCATTAAATGACCCATAAGGAGTTGATATGCTGTTAAACAGACAAATCAATCAGTCACAATGATTGGGGATAGATCTAAATTAAATTACTACTAAATAAAAATTACTGAGAGCATTTTTAGTAAGGACTATGTTAGTAATCTCCAGTAATTATTTATATTGCAATTCTACCTATTATTCATTACCTACTTTACAACTCTTAACAATTGATTTATTTTCATAAATACAAATGTACAAAAGAATGTACTGACCTCTTTTAATGAGTAAATTCATAAAAATTATTTAATTCCTTCACAAATCAGGTGATATTGCAGAAATAATGAGCCAATTTGTTTATGGTAATTGAATAAAAGCATAGAAAATATAATTATATAACACAATCAGAAAGCAATTTCAACATTTTCCAAAAATCATGTATCAACAAATTGGTCTCACATTGCATTGAACTCTATTAACTCTAGAACATTAACCATCAATTAAAGTTACACTACTACTAAGCATGGGTATATCATACCCAATTTTGAAAATATCAAAAAAAAATTATTAAATATAAATCTTTATTTGAAATATTTTACATGCAGGGACTTCAAACTTTGTATTTTGAGCTAACATTAATAGGAACTGAAAAACATTATTTAGGTAAGAAAATCAGGTACTGAAAATTGTAATTAAAATAGGAAAATTTGTGCTGGGTACTATATACCCATGGGTAGTGTTATAGGGTTAAGGCAGGAAGGTGATGATTGGCCTTTTTCTTTATTTTGAATTTAATAGTTTTTTTTTTTTTTTTTTGTGGGGGAGGGATATTAACTTTTTGAAAATGATGAGCAGTATAGTCTGGTCACTACCAAGAACTTACCATTTGGGAACGGTAACCAGATGCTATAAACTCAGATGTGCTGTTTGTATAATATATAACGGCTCAGAATGAGAAATCAGAGCTGAGTTTTAAGTCCAGTCAAATTCACTTATGAGCAAATACCTTTGAGGAAAGGTATGAATCTACAACTTCTTCTCCATATATGGATTATATAGTAAGTCTTGTATCTGGAAATTATTATCTCCAAATAATTAATACAATATTCATTCATTAAAAAAAAAAAAGGAAAAATTATTACAATCTAAAAATCTCTTCAGCTTTAAATAATCTCCAAAATAATTCATGAACCAATGAATTCAGCTGTTGTCCATTGGACAACCCTGAACCCTGAACTTGGAGTCTTATGCTTAAGCTTCTTCTTTCCTGCCTGCTGCTGATACACTTGACTGTATTCACTGCTGCTTCTCTTTTCTTACTTCCTTGCTGTCATTTCTCTTTCTTTGCTTTCATGGTCCTTCTTTTTCTTTTTTATTTGCTAATGTTCATCTGGTACAATGCACGAGATCCAATCAAGGTAGATGGTTACTGCGTGGAGTTGTATTAGTGCAGGAAAGGGGCAAGAAGTGAAGTTCTTGGAGCTATACAGGAAAGACAACAGCTAACTCTAGACGTGTTTCAGAATTAATTAGTGGATAACATTTCAGAGTTGGATATGTAAAAGTAGATTTCAGAAGGAACCAGAAACCAAATCCTAAACAGGACATAAGGGATAAACCTCTACTCCTGTTCAAAAACTGGAGAGGAGATAAACCTATTTAGATTAACTATATTGACCCTCTGTCTGAATGAATTTTTTTTGTTTTTTCTGCTACTAGCACTACCTAGGAAATAAGGTTAGAAGATTATGTTGCACCAAGCAAACACACTTAGTCTGCATGCATTGAATACCAGCTTTCAAAATTTTTTACTACCAGTGTAATGTAGAGATAGTCATTAATGTAAAAAGTACACAAATTTTAAAATAATAATAGGATAGTGGTACATAGTATCTTCTCTTTGGCCAAATGACATGCCAGTGATGACACTTATTTCAAGGCATCTTGAGTTAGGATGGAGCGAAAGTATGATTGGAATGCAATCTCCCAGTTCTGCTTTCTGCTCTGCTAACCATAATGACACTGTTCTTTTTTGTCTTTTCAAAATGTATGTATTTATTTATTTTAAAATTTGTGTACTTTGACATTTTACATATGACTAAATGCTACAGGTGATTCTTTTCTTTTCTTTTTTTTTTCTCACACTGATGCAAAGGCTAAAACTGAAATAATTTTTTCATTTTTTTCTTTTGTTTTTATTTTCATTAATTTTTTCTCTTTCTGTATTCTGCCCTTTTGCTTTCTCCCTGCATTTTTTTTTTTTTTTTTTTGGGGAGGGGCTTGCCACTTTCTCCCTGAAGAAAGAAAAAAAAAAACCTCAGATATTTCAATGTGAATTTATGGATAAAAAAGTTAAATAAGATAGATATGATCACATGCAAAAAGTTTTGTATATTAGGGTTTTTTTATATGGTTGGGATGATTGACTATTAATCCTCCCCTTAATGACTATCTCTACATTACACTGGTAGTAAAAAATTTTGGAAGCTGGTATTCAATGCATGCAGACTAAGTGTGTTTGCTTGGTGCAACATAATCTTCTTAACCTTATTTCCTCTTCATTCTGACTTGTGCCAGGATTAAGCTAAATGTATCTTTTGCCTTTTACATGTATGTAAGCATACCTTCCTATGTACACTTGCTTGTATGTACAAGGGATGCTGACAATTTTTTTTTTTTTTTTTTTTTTCAAATTTTAGTTGGACCAAAAATTTTACAGCACCCCTTTCTGAGGGTGTGCATGCAATTATTTTTTTTTTTTTTTTAAGAATAATCCCAAATTACATACATTAGCTCTTAATGACAATATTAGAACTGCTTTTTACCATAATTCCCCGTGTATAATACACCTTCATCCATAATATGCACACCTAAAATTGTGCTGAAAGTGTGGGGAAAATGCTTCATGCATAATTTGGTAATCGAACCCTATAAATTGTACCTTTCCAATTTCATTACGACCAGCATTTCCTACTCTTATTTAAAAAAATGGTTTTAAACATAAAACTAAATTAGAATAATATTATTCTATGATAATTCTTATTTTATTTAATGGCAACTTTTTAAAAGTTTTTTTGTAGCTGTGCATAATACGCACCCCTGATTTTGCTTATTATTTTTGGGGAAAAAATACATGGGAATTATGGTAATTCTTTTGTGACTGTTTCAACTTTTGTTTTATTAGAATACAATCCTATTATAATTGTGCTTGTTCCTCCCTTCATTAATTAATCATATATATATATATATATATATATATATATATATATATATATATATATATATATATATAAATAATCATCATTAGTGTTGTGTGTCCATCTAGGACTCTAATACTCGGATATCGTTATATATCGGCTTATACTTTTTTGTAGAGCTGAAAGGCAGAAAAATTACCAGAGTCAAGACAGTTGCAGAGATTTTTCACTCAGGTTGGGAACGATGGTGGTTAGAACAAGTGTAGGTGTAAGTGATGTATAAGATCACTTTGGTAGGTAGATGGGATTGTCGAGGAATGTGAAACTTGACTCCAAGGAAAATCAGCATAGTAATGTCTGTTTACAAATCTCAACAATTGCTATGGTGACCAACAAAATCTCACCTTGTTTGTGTAGCTATTCAAATACATGTACATCATAAACATATGCCAACGTGTATGTTTGTATATTTATGTTTATATATTTATATATATATATATATATATATATATATATATATATATATAATATACTCCAAGTATAGGATTGGTGTATATGAAATGAATTCCAATCACCAAAAAATGCTATTCTTAAAAGAGTGCTCAATACAAAGTAGAGCAAATATAATTTATTCGAAAATTATAACATAAATGTTATAAAATCACAACAAAAATAGCTATTGTTTCAACACTTCTGGTGTCTTATCAAGTGATGTTGAATGTAGAATAAAGGGTTACATTCAACACCATCATTTGATAATACACCAGAAGTGTTGAAACAAAATGGCTATTTTGTAGTGATTTTATAACATATTTATGTTATAAATTTTTTTTTTTTTTAAATAATATATATATATATATATATATATATATATATATATATATATATATATATATATATATATATATATATATATATATAGTGTGTGTATGCATATATATTTGAGGTGCATTTCTTCATTCAAACATGTTTCATTGAATAATATAGACATATTATGTCTATTTATCTTTATACTGATCCTTTCCAATTCTCTAATCAGTTTCTTGATGTTAAGATGAAATTCATCAAAGGTGCTGTAGTTTTTTCCTAGCCAAGTACTTTTGATCTCTTCCAAGATCGTCCTCAGGGGTAAGTTACAAGGAAAAACTTATTGTAACTGTGATAAAATCTGCATTTCATTGTGATTTTTTTTTTTTTTTTTTTTTTTTTTTTTTTTTTTAAAAGAAAGTGTGAACAGGCTCTATTATAGTTATTTAAAAACTTTTTAATTTACCCCTGAGGATGATCTCTGAGAAGATGTAAAGTACTTGGGTAGGAACAAACTATGGCACTTTTCTTGATGAATTTCGTCTTAACATCAAGAAACTGATTAGAGGATTGGAAAGGATCATTATAAAATAGACATAATGTTTAATTATACAAAAGAAAAAAACACACACGAGTCAAAGATCAAATGTAGATAGGAATCCAACAAGATGATAAAATGAAATAAAGATCAGTTGCAAACGAATCTCAATCTAATGTTTCACCTTTTATTAAGGCTTTGTCAGAGATTGAGAATGAATGAAATATATTCTTACTGTCCTGGACATTGAGTTCTACCTGGATTCTATCCTCTTTGAAATATTTTATATATATATATATATATATATATATATATATATATATATATATATATATATTATAAACTTTCAAAAATGGGTGAGTTTCACACAAAAACAAGGACAAAAGTCCATATAAACATGTCTGCTTATCCTTCATTTTAACTTAAAGAAAGTTTATGGTAGATGGCCCTGAGTTGCCATTTTGACTTGGTTTCATTTGTTATTAGGCTATCTTCAACATTTAATGTGTGTAGTAGTGAGTTAACTGAGAAGTGTCCTGTTTAACAATGGCAGGATATTCATATTGTGAGCAGGCAGATATGATTTTTACATATGGCTCTGTGGCTGTATCAGATTGTGCTTACAGGCCAAAGACAGCCAAGTCATCCAACCTTTGCTGCTGTTTATCACTGTGTTGCTGAGACAGGATCCATGGCACCATAAACTATGGATTGAGAAAGACCAAACTCCACTTGCTTGCCTGACCATGAAAAATACATTCTTCTGGCTATCAGCAACAATCCGGGTATCGGCATATATCCAGTAATCCTGGCATGTACCTCTCATAGTACTGCATGGATGGTATCTCAGGGGAAGTTTCTGTGTCCATATCATTTTAGAGAGTCTTTCACTCTCTGATCACTTATTGCAGGAGAACTTTTTCCAGTTGTTTATGGCACAAACTGCCAATCTGTTGCTTGTCTCATCAGACTTGTTTACGAATGAGGCAACATTTGGAAGAAATGTAATAAAAAATTTACACAACCAACATTTATGGGTGGAATCCATGGTTCAATGCAGGCTAGACACCAGCATCCATTTATGATTAATGTGTGGACTAGAATTGTAGGTGACTGTCTGGTAGGTCCATATGTTCTCTCAGCATGTCTTACAAGAGCTGTCTACAGGGACTTTTTCAAACACACATCCAAACCTGCTTGATGATGTATCTGTGTTAATACAAAGATGCATGTGGATCATGTATGACGGGGCGCCAGCACATTTTAATCACATTGTTCACGATGCACAAGTTTGCATCCACCATGAAAGATGAATAGGTAGGGGAGGACCCGTTCCATAACAAGCACATTCCCCTGACATCAATCCTTTGTTTTCCTTTTTTCCTCGTTACCTCTTTTTTCCTCGTTACCTCTTTTTTCCTCGTTACCTCTTTTTTTTACCCTTTTTTTCCTTTTACCTTTTTTTCCTCTTTACCTTGCTGTGCCTCTTTACTTCTTTTTTCCTCTTTACCTTGCTGTGCATCTTCTTTTCACTTTGCCTATTTTTTATTTATCTCTTTACTGCTTTTTCTTTTTTTCTTACCTCTTTCTTTTTTGCTTTACTGCTTTCTTTTTTCCTCTTTATCTCTTTCACTACTCTTTCTTTTTTCTCTTTACCTCTTTTTTTTCTCTTTACCTCTTTTTTCTCTTTACCTCTCTCACCTTTTTTCCTCTGTACCCCTTCCTCTTTACTTTCTTTTTTCTCCTCTTTACCTCTATTTTTTTTCTCTTTACATATTTAATAATTTCCAATACTTATAATACTGAATGCCAGTCCATTACACTGACCACTGAATTTTTATTGGCAGAGCTCTCTTTGATCGAATTATTAAATCCTGCTGCTGACTAATAATTGGAATTGTAGAAAAAAATGGTTAATTAGCTGAAAAGAATATTTTTATCTAAATAACCTTTCTTTTGTCTGCATTAAAAGACTGACAAATACAATAATTGGACGTCTTTTTTCAAATTTGAATACCCTTCTTTGTTTAGTATCCTCATAGTCACTGAAATGAGTGGTGCTCATTTATGTCAAAATTACACGTACACATTTATTAATTATTACTATAAACATTATATTTAGTGGGTGTGCCTGTTTGAATAGACATGCATGTTATTTTAAACAGTGAAATTAATGTTCACCTTCTGAAAGACTGAGATATCATACTAAAGAAAAAGATGTCTCTTGTCAAGAATTTGAAACTATATCTTTTTCCTATTACAGAAACCACTTTCAAGTCAAGTGTGCCTTACCAATTAGTCCTTGTTGGAACCTCTCAAGTCTATATTTGCTAACTTTATTCTTCTTTATGTGTTGTTTCATCAGGACATAGGCAGTCATGGCTCTCCACAATTTCTTGTCCTTCATAGTTCTTAATAAATTTTCTCTTTTTGTTATTTATCCTAAACCTTTTTATTTCTTTGAACCTTTTTATATATATTTTTTTCTTATTAGCCTTTTTATATATTTTTTCTCATTTCTTATTAAAAAATAAAATTATTACAGTTCTAAACACACACATTTTTTTTTTCTACCTTCTTTCTCCAAATCTTGTTAAGACGGAAGTAGATAATAAACAGGTGAAATTCAATTCAACTCTAAACTTCTTTAACATTTACCTACTGTGACTGATTCACCCTCACCCAGTCATCAATCATGCCCTAGACTGGATTTGCTTAATCATATTGAGGTTACACGGGCTGATACCCTTCTCTAGTTGCAAAGTAGTCCAGTTGGATTCTTTCAGTGGATCTTGGTAGTCAGGTTCACATATGTTGAATAAAATCAGTTCATTTGTCTGTTCAATCCCTTCTTGAGACCAAGGGTTGGTGAAAGAGTCTGACAGTAACAATATGGGGTCTTCTAGACTTTATTTTGCTTTGGACAAAACCTATGTACTTTTTCTTTCTGTCAGCTTACTTAGTCAAGATGATAAATGGAATGGTTGTTACATCTCAATACCCAAGATGAAGTTGAAAATGACAAAACCCAATGATGAGGGCTGTTTTGTATGCAGCTTATATGGTCCAACGTCCCAGCTATTTACCTTGAGCTCCTTGATAAAATCCAAAGAATCAGCAATATTTTTGGTCCTGATCTGGCAGCTCAGCTTCAGTCACTTACCCACCACCATAAGGTTGTCTCTCTGTGCCTTTTGTAAAAAAATATTCTCATGGTAATTGTTTGGATAAGCTCTTCATTATGGTACCTAGACTCTTTGAATTTAAGTGCAATACTAGACTGGTGTCAAGATCTCAATTTACAGTTGATCTGGCTAGATGTCACCATAAGATATATGCTAACATAGGTACCTCCACGAAATCGCTAAAAAAAGAGCATAGCTTGATGAAAAAGATGCCAAACTTGCCGAAAACAAAATTTTATTGTCTAAATGCTTATGTTATTATTAAGAGGAAAGACCAAAGTTTTTTTTAATTATTTTTAAAAAATTTTCCTTCTTTTTAGAAAATTCTAAATTTTGATTAAAAAAACCTTGTTTCTATTTGTATCAGCGGAACTAGTAAATAACATAGACAATTTTAGCACGTTTTTTGGTATGACATGCATTAATTTGAAAATCGTGCAAAAATAGAAATAATTATCGGATGTTAATGAAACTTTCAGGAACTATTCACAGATGATCGAAATTATTATAAATATGTTTTTTTATGAAAGTCATGGTAGAAATATTTTTAAAAATATTTATTACCCCCATAACTAATTTTATGAAAACGCTAGAAATTCAATCGCATCGGTTTTAGTGATTACAATAATTAAAAGCACAGGGCTTTGAGAAATCAAATCATGTTTTTTTTTTTTTTTGTTTTTAATTGGATACGCAGTACCTGAAAATCAGCTCTGAATTGTAACATACAAAATTCAATAAAACAAAGATATTATTTAATTTCAAATGCTTTTATTTGCTTTTAGTTGTTTTTATGAATATGGACAATATTTTCTGAAAGCAAAAAAATTTTTTCGATGAAAAATGAATTTTTAATACAATTATTTGTTATTTCATTAATTATAATAGATTTTACATTTAAGTTGTTAAAATATTATAAAATTAGTTAAAAGCTGCATCGGCTTTCATAAGTGTCCTTATGAGATAGATCTTTTTTTAGCGTTGTAAATTGTATCATTTTGACTAATCAGAAGATACCCAGTAATTAAGAAATGTAATTTTGTGCTTATAATCGAGCTGTAATTATAAAATATGGAAGACCAACCAGAATATAATTAAGTTGTGTTATTTGAGTTAAGCATTGTTCTCCGCTGTTAATGCCTTTACTTTTTGTAAAACACGTGTGGAGAAGTTAATTTGATTTTTTCAATTTCAACTGAGAAGGGTACCTACAAGTATCAGTATCATCTTATGAAATTTATATGATCTTATTTTTATATTAATCTCAGTTACGACATTTTTCCATAAATGAAATATCAAAATTAATAATAAAATGAATGCAAATACAAATAACAGTAGAATGTAATAAATGTACATAAAATTATAGTATTTTATGTACAATTCTGATAAAATTTCATAAGAAAGGTACCTATAAATTAATTAGATACCTTTCTTAAGAAATATGAAATTTAATGTCACTCTTAACAGTTTTATTTTAATTTCTTTACAATATATTTCCCATAAAGCATCATAAACGTAAAGGTGAAAGCTAAGTACAAAAAAAAAAAAAAAATTAGACCGCTGAAAGTTTTCGTTAAAAATAACGGGGTAAATAATTTGTTCACGTAAATGTAAATTATTTCACTTTTCTCCTTCCGTAGAACAAATTAGCCTCATGGAATTCAGAATATATCATTCATCACATGTCAAGAGACGCGAAAGTTTATGACCTGCTTTGTTTTATTTTTAAATTACATCTTTTGGCACAAAAGCTAAGTTAAGTTTGGTTCAAAATATTTTAAATAAACATTATAATTTCTGATTTTCTTAAAATAAGTTTTGAAAAATGATAATTGATATTTAAAAAATTTCAAAGTCAGATTTCCATTTTTTTTTTTTTTAAATGGAAAAAAATGGTCAATTTTGTTTACTCAAAAAAAAAACTAGATTTTTAACGAAAATTTCGGACGTGCTAGGAACGATTAAAAATGGAAAAAAAATACCCCAAAAATACTTTGACCTTTCCTCTTAATAATAACAAACATTTAGATGATAAAATTTTGTTTTCGTCAAGTTTGGCGTCTTTTTCATCATGCTATGTCTTTTTTTTTTTTTTTTTTTTTAGCGATCTCGTGGAGGTACCTATGCTAACAGTTTCTTTTCTCACACTTCTCGCTTGTGGAAATCCCTTCCATCTCCATGCTTTACAGCCAACTTTAATCTACAAAAGTTTAAATGGAATGTCAATCACTGTCTACTATCCTCCTGATTACTTTTTTCTCTTTCTGCTCATTATCAATGTTTCTGTTCCTAATTCTTTCACACCCTGGAATTGTGTCTGCATGGGGTGATATAATTTAAAAAAAAAAAAAAAGGTAATAACTGTTTGAAACCACAAGCAAGGTTCATTATATTAGGTTTCAGATAAAACCTATAAAGAATTCTTCTGGTTATATTTAATTTCATTATTAGGTAGGATCATTTGTCTAGTCTGAATACTTTCTGGATTAATTTTCAGTTTTTAACCATATCACTGCATTTACAAACATGGTCACTTTACTGCTTCTACATATGGTCAAGTTCAGCTATGTGGCCACTTCATATTTGGGGTGAGGTCATACATTGGCCATAGCACAAATTCTTTCTTTTATTTGTCTCTCTCTTCTCTTTGCTTCTTTCCTCTTTTCTCCCCTTTTGCTTCTCGTTTCTTCTCCCCTTTTGCTTCTCGTTTCTTCTCCCCTTTTGCTTCTCGTTTCTTCTCCCCTTTTGCTTCTCGTTTCTTCTCCCCTTTTGCTTCTCGTTTCTTCTCCCCTTTTGCTTCTCGTTTCTTCTCCCCTTTTGCTTCTAATTTTCTTCTCCTTTTGCTTTCGTTTCTTCTAATTTTTGCTTTCGTTTCTTCTCCCCTTAACTTCTCGTTTCTTCTCCTTTTTCGTTTCTTCTCCCCTTTTGCTTCTCGTTCTTCTCCCCTTTGCTTTGTTTCTTCTCCCCTTTTGCTTCTCGTTTCTTCTCCTTTTGCTTCTCGTTTCTTCTCCCCTTTTGCTTCGTTTCTTCTCCCTTTAAATTCTCGCTTTTCTCCCTTTTGTAAGTTTCTTCTTTTCTCCTCCCTTAAATTCCTGGTAAGTGAAGAAAAAGATTCAAGTGTTACTTTTGAGCAAATTTTAAAAAAATTGTCACTCAACCACTTCCTTGTAAAAAGCTTACTAGTACTATAGATTGGTTTTATCTTTTTACATATAAACATGGTCACTTTCCTGCGTGGTACCCATGTATATACCTGTGGGCAAGAGTCACAAATTGTCTAGTTCCAACAATTAGTATTAACCAGGTGTTGGTATACTCCCCATTTGGTAGGTAAGTGTAACCACAAAATTGAAACACCTGGCTCATCTCATCTTTATATAGGTAAGATTAAGAATTAGGAAGTGAAACTACATCCCAATTGCAGCATGAAGACTACACAGTGTTGCTTCTCATTCTAATCTTCTTGTACACCATCGTATATTTTTCTCCCCCCACTGGGATTTGAATTAATCCAAAGGGATATAAGTAAATGGCGTTTTCAGATTTTTTTTTTTTTTTTTTTTTTTTAAGTCACTCATTTTCTTTCTCCTTTTAGTCTCAAGCAATGCTGGTTTGGGAAAAATAATAAAAGATTTAATTATTTTGCACACACACACACACATTTTTCATTATCCATCTGAAGAAGCCATGTAGGGGAAATGCATTATTGGATCTTATTTCCTAAACATACTTTTCATGAATTTTTTCCAAATGACTTATAACTCTGTTGGGATTACATACCCAAATTTATTACATATTAGTTCTATATATTTGATATTATAATATCCTGAATCTCAATTTCAGTCAAGATTGTTTTAGGTGTTGCCATAGAAGGATATAACGACACCACCAAGAAATTCAAATTGCATTGGCTGGACAAACATTTTGCTTGATGAAAATATTCGCCTACAGAGTGCTAAATTTTAAACATACACACAAATACACATACACAAATTTCTTTCTTTTTGGTTCCGATGAAGTCTAGAATGGCAAAACACATAATCAAATCTAGTTTCATTAAAACGTTTTCTATTTGTCAAATTTCTTAAAAACTTTGTTAGGAATCTGTGTGTGTATGTATGTATGTGTGTGTGTGTATATATATATATATATATATATATATATATATGTGTGTGTGTGTTAATTATTTAATACACACTTAAAGATATTGTCTCCTGTGATGAAAGATATTCTATTTAATGAGTGGTTTCTTTTCTATAGCTTATATGAAATATTTTAACTTAATTAAATGCAGTGTTTGGTTAGTGTTATATACCGTACCTATGAACACTAATGGGTATGTCCTAATCCTCATAAATATGTTGGACACTATTGTAAGTGGCGGGAGGAGTAATATGCTGTCTAAGTAGTCTACCACTAGCAGTGATTTACTTACTTCCTGTCACTAGTGAGTATTGTATTTTGTTGATGTTTATAAAAATTACCATTTCATTTCCATCCTCCATTTTGGTTATTCCTCATTCATTAACCCTTTCTAGGTTACAACAGTTAATGATTTTAAACATTTTTTACACATTAATTTGGGCTATGGATATAACTTTGGTCATAATGTTCCGAATATGGTGACACACATGGCAAGAAAATTTAATGTTTCATTCTTGTTTATAATATGCACCATCAGTCTATATATATATACATATGGCAGAGAATGTTGGACAATTTCCCCATAGATGAAGAAGAAACTTGAGGCCACAAAAGAGTGGTTCTACAGAAGCATACTGAGAATTCTATAGAATAAACATGTTATTGAACTATTATGAAATATCTGTCTATATGGCAGAGAATGTTGCACAATCTCCTGACAGATGAAGAAATTTGAGGTCACAGAAAAGTGGTTGTACAGAAGGATGCTAAGAACTGATCATGTAAGCAATAAGGAAACATTGAGGAAACTGGAATCCATGAAATATTCATAGATACTACTAATATATATCATGATATTTATTTTGTGAACTTGTGCAATCCAATTCCAGAGGAAGGTGTGGTTGGTTAACTGAAATGTCAACTTTTTTTTTTTTTTTTTTTTTTTTAGATGGTATAAACCAGAGATTTCCAAACTGTAACTTGCAAGCCACCTGCACCTCTTTGACCTTTAATTTAATATGTGATTCATGGAAATATGTTAGCTGAGCTCCTTTTTTTTATCACAGTAAATAAAAAAAATTTCAAGCTTTATAATTATTTACTAGGTATGAATTGAGATCCCATTGGATTAAAACGTAAGTTTAATGTTCATGGTTAGTAAAAATATTTCAAAATTTAAATCTTAATTTCATGTCTTGTGACTCTCAAACACCTGTACTTTATCATATCTGGCTCTTACATTAAGCAAATTTGTCCACTCCTGGTATAAACCATAACAAATAGCAAAGAAACACAAGATATTTGGTTTTAAGAAATGAAAACAGATTCACCCAAAGATCTTGTTTCCATGTGGGTAACATTGTTGTTAGCAACTTCCTCATCAAAATTTCAACTGGTGAGTGAATATTTTGATAAGTTAAGACAAAGAAATTATTTTTGTGGATTATTATATTTGTCTCGTGCTTTATTCATTTTGTTTATTATAACCAAACCAGACTGAAGTCGTCCTGGGTATGACGATAAACTACATCCGCATCCAGGGTAAGACGATAAACTACATCCAACAGCAAGGACTCTGATCAGGAGGTTTTGAGGAGCGTGGGACCACCTCTTAATTGCTGGTGTTCCCAGGTCCACCCTGATCTGGGATGGTAGCACTTGTTAGGGTCCCAGCTATAGGCAAATAGTTAACCTCGAAACTGAGGTAAAAAAGCATTATAAAAAAAAAAAAAAATAGGTTTTAATACCAGAAATACTTAAAAAAAATTATTACCAGAAATAAATTTTTGAAGAAAAAAAAATATTACCAGCAATACGTTTTTGAAATAATATTACCATCTATATGTTTTTGAAAAAAAAATATTACCGTCTATACATTTTTGAAAAAAAATGATATTACCATCTATACGTTTTTGAAAAAAAATGATATTGCCATCTATACGTTTTTGAAAAAAAATAATATTACCATCTATACGTTTTTGAAAAAAATATTACCATCTATACGTTTTTGAGGAAAAAAATATTATCAGCTATACATTTTGAGGAAAAAAATATTAACAGAAATAGATTTTTGATAAAACAAAAATATTAACAGGAAAAAAAAAGTTGTTGGCATTAAATGACCCATTGAGGTTGATATGCCATAAAACAAAACAGACCAAACCAGCCTGAAGATCCAAATGGTCAAACTGCAGTAGTGAATGAATCTCTTTAAAAAGAAACAGTCCGAGAATTGCTCTACAGTTGTTCACATTTTTTTTTAAGTTGACTTGAGCTGGTAAATTTCAGAAGGTTTTGTGCCATTAATATTTTTTTTTTTTTTTTTTTTTTTTAATCAACTTACCCCAAGCAGGGTGATAGTAACACAAAGAGCTACATAGGCTACATATCCATTATTATACCTAGTTAGTCTTATGTGTTATAATCTTCCTAAACCAGATCTTCTGATTTTAAAATTTCCACCACTGGCTGGATGTGAACGCTCCAAAACCCAAGACCAAACTAAAAATTCCATCAAACACATCAGCTTTGCACACACCTTCCGCTTTCTTCACACACCCCCCAAAAAACATACAATCCAATTTTTAACCCAATAGCACCTACTCCTGCCTAAAGAAGTGAAATAGAAATTGGAGCCTATCTGAGCCTACAAAAGGACTTGAAAACCCATCAAAGAGACATCTTGGCAGTCAGTCAGCACAACAGCCAGGGTTCACATGCACACCAGGACGCCATCTCTACACCCAAAAACATTTGGCCTCCTATCTCCAAGGATAACTCACCAAAGCTGGTCGCTGCAGTAAGTCACAACTCACCCTCCCTCTACTACTGTTAAGCCACTGTGGACGGCTTTACTTATCTCTTTCTTTCAACCACTTCATACCACTTCATCATTCGTTGTATTTTTTGTAAATACAATTATTTATTTCTTAAACCTCTGTCGTTTTTTGTTTCTGCCACCCTACGCTTAATATAACACTAGCTTAGGTGTGGCTCACAAGTGTATATTCTTAGTCACAAACTGTAACTGTATCTCAAGCCCTTCTGTTGAAATCTTTTGGTTTCCAGTCTCACATCCCAAAATACCTGCATTATGTCTAAAGTACAGGTATTTACATTGTTTTCTCTTGCAACTAAAAAGAAAAGGAATCTGGAGGCTGCTAAATATATTTATTTTGTTGATCATATCAAAGATAAACTGAGGTGATGATAAATGAGCCCATATAGAAAACTATAACTGTACAGTAAATATAATCCTCTGATTGAGCATGTACCTGTGTTAGACTAAACCCTCACTTAGTTATTTCAGATAGCTTCATTTTAGGTAATGGTTCATTAGCAATCAAGTTTCATTGTGCATGGCATGCCAGTGACAAGACTTCTCTATCATCTGTGGCTTATGGCCACATCATGTTGAAACATTGGCTCCTGTACGATCTCTGAAGTTAAGCAAGATCAAGTGTGGTCAGTACATAGATGTGCTGTAAGTTCGGATGTGTGGGTGCTGTAATGGATAACGGCTTGTAATTGTTTATCGGAGAGCCAAGTTCCAATTCCTGTTGAGTTTGTTATATTTACTTACACACAAATACTTTTGGGGAAAGGTATAAATCCACTTCTTATCCCCCCCGCAGCCATGGATTAATTGATTTAGTGTATAACTAAACCATTATAATCTCAAAAAGAAAAAAGAATTCTAAAGATATTTTCTGGCTTTAAATAACCTGCAAGAGTTTAATAAGCTCTAGAAAACAATCATTAATTCATCATCTGTGAATTGCCATGGCTTCTTGGAAAATACAGTGGAATGATTTCTCATTGTCTTCTCCATGTTTGAAAATTCAAAATTATCTTGGAATGGTTGGGGGGGTGCAAGATATGATAGTAAGGGTTAGGATTTGTACTATTTCCACATGTACAGTGGGGTACATAAAAAAAATTGTGATACCTGAGGTTTAAAATGATTTTTAAAAACGAAAAGCCTTTCATGAAGCTTTTATTTTAGCTTTAATTTCAAGCTAATAGACTAAATATATTTCCAATAGAC